TCACATCATTTAGCCTCACTCCTGTACTCCACATCAGCAGAGTAAAGGCAAGTTTTCGGGGCCAAAAGATGAGGTGAAATTGTTGTACAAGGACATAGCAATCTAATGTGTGAGGAGGGCAAAGGGTCACTTACAGAGATAGTCATCATTCTGAGGCTCGCTGACCTCTTTGTATGAACGGTCCATTCTTTTTCTCAGGTTATACCTCCTCACTTCAATCTCTTTTCCTGAGAGCTAAATTGGGGAAGAGTGAGTGAAGGTGGGAGTCTGGGGTGTCCATCCCTGTTTCATTAGAAAATGTGAACTCTCCTACCATTAAAGTATCACTTATTCTTCTATAGACTCTGGTCCCAACCCCCAACCCCCAACTACTGGTTCACGATCAAATAGAGTAAGACTCCACACCCACACTGAATGCAGATACCTAATTCATGTTCACTTTTTGGCTCTTCCCATTATCCCATTCACCTCCCAAATTACTTTCTTATGACACAGTTCATTCATGCATTCATTCATTCACAAAAGATTTCTTCAGGGCACACTACATGATAGGCATTATCATGGGCACTAAGAAGGCATGGTCTCCTTTATCACAGATCGATTTCCTGGACACCTTGCATTTATCGCTTCTTTTCTATTTGATGTCATGCTTTTACACAATCCATGTGGTTTCTATCCTTACCTTCATTTTAGAGATGAGCATTCAGGAGGTCAGAAAAGTTAGAACTTTTTCCCAAGGCCCCAATGCTCCTATGTGGATTATAACCCAAGTGTGTGACTTCAATGTGAAAGTTGTTACATGCTATTCAGTACTGCACCCAATTTCTGATCTCACAGCTCAGTCCAGCTTAAGCCCAGGCCTATCCAAAGTCAACCCCATGTATCTAGACCATACTCATCAACCTTCTAAAGCATCTAGAGAGACTAAAGTCCCCCAATTATTTTCTCTTACCTGACTTTCGTCTAGAGTGCTGTCCAGAGGCACTTGCTTCTCCAGAAAGGGACACGCGTTTCCGGTGCTGCTTTGAGCCACTAATGTTCGGTGAACTCGTTGGTCCTGACAAATCCTTCAGACGAGACGCGTGACTTACTGGTGCTCTGGGCATTCTCTGTCATGTGAGAGTCACATATTAAAAGACAACATGCATTTCTTTAGTTCTTAGGGCTTGCAGTGTGTTTTCACATACATGACTTGAGTTATTGCTTTAATAACTGTTAGAAATGGCCAGATGTGGTAGCTCATGCCTATAATGCTAACATTCTGGGAGGCCAAGGCAGGTGGATTGCTTAAGCTCAGCAGTTCCAGACCAGCCTGGGCAGGAGTGAGACTCTGTTTCTACTAAAAATAGAAAAACTATCCAGGTGTAGTGGTGGGTACCTCTAGCCCCAGCTACTCGGGAAGCTAAGGTAAGAGGATTACTGGAGCCCACAGTTTTGAGGTTGCTGTGAGCTCTGACACCACAATACTCCACCCCGGGTGATTCTGTCAGAGTCTGTCTGCAAAACCAAAAATAAATATATATAAAAAATATATGAATAAATAAATAAATGAACAATAACACATATAAATGACTGGGGTTCTGATAATTAGAGGAAATAGGGAGGGCCTAAGTGAGCAACGAGCCAGGACTAGAGCCCATGTCTTATGGCTCTGTCCCTTCAACTTTCTCTCAAACTGTAGCATGTAAGTGAAGGCAAAAGAGGGAGGATATTTGGTAAGACCATCTGGAGAACCAAGAGGTCTGTGTAGGAATAGGTAAAGATTGATGGAGGAAAAAGTGGGTCTTTCATATGCTAGTGGGCATTTGATGGAAGGAGAAAGGAAAGAAAAATGGGACAACACACACCTGGAAAATGAAGCAAGAGAGCAGTGAGGTTAGGAAGAAATGAAGAAATGCTTGGAGTAAGTGTCTCTAGACAGCTAGGAAAGGGATGCTACAAGTTGCAAATTGTCCTGGAAAGTATATTTGACTTTGGGATTAGATTAGTTGGTTTCTGTTCGAATTCTGCTTGAAATAGGTTGTGCCACTATCTAATTCTCTTCAGTTTCCTGATCTATAAATTGCCATATGTGCTCATTTTCAGTGTTATAGTGAACAGCAAACATAATAATGTTGGCCATAGTGTTTTGTGAGCTATTTCATAGTATACATGTCACAGTCATAATTTCTGTCATGGTCTGGATACCAATTTCCCTCCTCAATCATCTCTCCAGTTTCAATGTAACTCAAAAATACTATCTGCACCATTCTTTGATCCTATTAGTTGTTCCTTAATTTGTATGTTTGGAATCACTCATTCAGAAAGCACTCAAGGGATGCTCACAGAGCTCACCATGCAAAGGCAGCAGGTTGAAACAAGTGATTCCAGACAGCACGAGAGTGGCCTAAATAGAGCCTGGAGGAAGGAGCCATGATTTCCTCCTACAGGAATAAGTATTTGGAATGAGTTCCAGAAGGATATATTTCTCCTGAATGGTGTATTACCTATATAAAGTCCTAACTTATTTCATTTGTTGTTTGTTCAGTCTTCAAAGCTGAAGCTCCTCAGGGCTGGAACTTGGTTCTTTTATCAGAATGAGTCCCTTAACAGGGGAGTGACCCTTGTCATCTGGGACAATCCTCAGTACACCCTGTCTGTATATCTGTGAGCTTCCCTTGGTCAGAGCGTCTTCCTGCATCTCTCACTTGACCATAACCTCATGGAAAACTGAGGTTAGAAACTCAGATGAATGACATATGAATAAGACAGAATACACTTTGTAAAACGAGAACCTTTTAATTAGCTTCTAAGTGCTTTAGGGAAGTTTTGGATTAGACTGCAGAAACCCTAAATATGATCTCAGGCAGATAACTGAATATTTTTGTACCACAGCTTCCTCATCCATAGTTACAGTTTTAGTGCCCACTTCACAGGGTTGTTGATAGGTTTCAGTGAATTTCATGTGAAATGCTTAAAATAACTCTAAAATATTTCAAAAAGCAAACAATGATAGCAATTCTTGCTACCATTCTTATTAACTCTTAAAACGATGATGATGATGTGAGACACTGCGCTAAAGAGACCAGGAAAGGAAGGGAGCAG